TAGTCTACGGTCAAGAGCCGGGGGTTAGAACAACCCTCATATGATATTACCAGGAAGTGTTCATTCACAGTGCATACCTGTCTGAGCTTGGCCGTCAGAAAGTGCACAAGACTTGCACAGTGAAAAGAGGTAGTCTCAGAGGTCAGCCAGGATCTCCAGAAAATGCGACCACGCAAACGAATCATTGCAGCATGTCGGTCGAATTTGAGAACCTATCATGCATAGGCAGCGTCCGTTGTCAGCGACTCAGCAGCTCCCGCAATCGACACAACTCTCGAGCTCGTGCACTAGTGCAGATTTGCCGGGTCACGCAAGCATCAACGGAAGAGGTGGGCTCAAAGGTTTGGCGTGCGCTCCTAAGTCAGCCTGGCTGCCTGGAAGCAGAGCACTTCGGATTTTCCAGCCTGAAGCCGTTAACATCCCCATATATGCATCTATTCCGCTGGTAAACACAGCCCAAGGTTCAGCTGCTTCGCCAGGCCGTATGAAGTGAGGCCATAAGCGATGCCAAAGTTGACGGCCTCGCCGGTTCAGGGTTGATAGGGTTCAGGATATATTGTCCAGGGTGCAGGTTCTTAGGAACTCGGGGGACCATGGGACACAGTAATTAAGCGAGAATTTCGGGTTTAGGGCGCAAGGATTTGGCTCTCTGAAGGACTTCACTGTGAGGCATTCAGGGTTGCAGCGTTGAAACCGAAGGTGCCAGGGGGGTGTCCGGAGAAGACATACTATCCCATTTACGGCAATGTTTATACGCAACCCATGTTTACATCCCTATTGCTCTGCCTAATATTGCGGCCTAAATAGTTACCAAGACTATTTTGGGGCTTCTTCAATGTACTTGTAGCAAAATACACGCCAAACCCCAGAACCTGATCTGTATAAGCCTGGTCAGTTCATTGCTTGGGCCCACACCTAAAAAACCCTAAACCCTGGCGCCTCACAAGTCCGAAACACAAAGCAGATCCCTCAACAAGAAGCATTAAGGCGTAGGGTTTATAATAGGTCTGTATTATAGAAACAGAAACGAGAATGCACTATCCCTCTTGCTTTATCCCTCTGGAACTATAAAGACCAAAAACGAAAGACAACCGACAACACCACCAAAACACATAACACAACAGAAAGCAGACGGAAGACAAAAGACAATAGACAATCGAGAAAAGCTAGCATACTTCCTGTAACAACAGACAACATGCATCAGACAACAGATGCAAGACAGAAGACAGAAAAAAAAACATAACAAGCGACAACAGACAAGATGCGACAATCAAACGACAAACGACACAAACCACGCAAGACAATGCCTGAACCATCCTTGGAGTGCAATCCAAAACACATTAGCCAAAAGACTCCACCAAAAGACAGAAACACATTAGACAATCAATGCCAAAAGACAAACACGAACTTCCTAGGACAAAGACAGAAGAGAAGCATGGCGAAGCCAGCATCCGAAGCCGCGGCCTTGGCGCTACGGCGCTCCGAGGGGTACACGTCCTGTGTCCCGAATGTCTCTTTCAGAAGGGGGTTTAGGGCTTAGGGTTTGGGCTTCAAGAGCGGCCATGGTTAAGAAGGGGAAGGTGGTTCTAAAGTATGTCTGACTTGGAGCAAGTTTCTTGCAAAAGCAGGAAGGTTGTTGAGAGTCGGGGCTTGGGGCTCAAGGCTTGCACGCTACCGTGCTCTGGGGTTTCTGGTGTGACTCCGGTATGTCCTTGTTGGAGAACACAGCACAAACTATATATATATATATGTATGTATACGTTTTGTTTTGAGGCTTGCAAAGCCAGTTTTGGCCACCCAGTCGCCGGTGGCTACAGTACCAAGCCCATGAAGCACGGGTCAAAGAAGTCCCACAGAATCTCGCCACGACGCTGCAACATATTATGTGCATTAGCATCGCCGTCTAAAGAACTTTGTTTGTGGTATTATGTCCATTCAGATTTTACTGTTATTATGGCTAGCACCAGTAGAATTAAGACTATGAATATTGCTGTTGCTGTTATTACTGTTAATGTTAATGAAACTATTACTAGTAAGAATTTCTTTATCAATAGTATTATTGCCATTATAACTATTGCTATTACTCTAAACTTACCATTACCATTACCAGTCCCATTACTATGACTATGTAACAAGTACTAGTACTAGTACTACCATATTACTATTACCTATTGCTACTACCATTTTTCGGATTGCTAGTACGATGATACTATTGTAATTCTTACTCTTACTCTTCGCATACTACTATCATTATTTGCATTTGGTTGTCTATTCTTACCCTGGGGCTCCAAAT